GAGACCAAAGAACGGAGGATGCCCAAAACGAGCCGGCGACCCTCCGAGCCAGAGTTGCTATTCCTACCGAGTACCCTATGCACCAATACGTTCATTTTCGTGTGTACTTATTTTACCGCCTGCCCAAAGTGTCCTATGAAGTGACAAAAAACGTCTCCCAGACGCGGTCTCTGTGAGAGGAGGTTCCTGCTTGGCCTAGATGTTCGTGAGTACGGTAGAACTAGTGCATTTGAAAAACTTTACTAGTCAAATTACCTCTTCATTGATATGCACTAAACAAATTAGATAATCAGTTGCACCGAATTCAATTGACTAAATAAAGACCCGTGAAATCGGTTTGAATGTTGTCCACGAGCTATCGTATTTGAGTATTTTGTTGAGTTCTAGCTAAACCAAAGATGATTTCGATGTCAACTTGGCAGGATGTCCCCGGTGGTGGAGGAATATACGTATTCAAGTTGTGCATGATTCCCGGTACAAAAGCTAAATTGCGTACCCCAGAATCTTGCGGTTAAAGAATTCTAAAGCTGACAAACAAAATACTTATTAAACAGCTTGATTGATTCTGGGCTACCTGTTGCATCTACAATTTTTTCTCCTCTTCTCAAAAATTTCCTCCTGAATCTAATTTTATTTCGTGACTCGCAGGTAAACTGTAGTGCACCACGAATCAAGTTCGTTGCGAATGAACAGCGCTGGTATCGGTTTTTAGAGTTCAGACCCTATGCATCGACTCCAAAATCCTCGCCGTATGGTCAGAGGTGAGTACCCCGGAGGGGGGGGGGTTGAGGCTGGTCACTCTTCCATTGCACCTCGCCAAATGCTCCTCCCATACGATCTAGCGTCTCTAATAGCCTCTGCTAAGGGAGTCCTACTCACTGCCTTCTCGTGCTGGCGAAGGTGTTTTTGCACGAAAATGAGAAGACGAAAAGCCGATATCTGGGGCTATAATCGGGTTGATGGACCACTGATAGTTCACCTAGGGGAGTTCGCTGAAAAAACCCGGATTCCAAACCAACCCGGAAGAGGCGTACGAACCACACCCACACCGTTCCGGTTGTGACAATGGTCACCGGTTTGATTGGGCATCGAGGTGTATTGGGCACTTTGAAAGTTCGACCCCGTAAGGCGTATGATCTGATAAACTGGACACCGGCTCCCAACGGATTACGGTTTTGGTCAGGCTTTGGTTAGCCAAAGGCTCCGGTTGAGGATTCCTCGAAAAAATTCACATGCCTTGGCCTGGGCAACTTGACAGTATTCGGTCCCCATGCAAATCATGGAACGTTTTTTTTCATAAAGATTATTGTACCACGATTTGTTTGGCACACAGTCTGATATCAGACATGTGTGAAATATGATATAAAATAACAGACACATTTTGTTTCGGGGTAAGGATGAGTGGGTGGAGGCTTCAGTATGAGGTTAGTTACCGGTCCATTGTATCTCGCGAAATGCTTCTATATATCCAAGTGTCTCAAATATTACTATGGAATCATCAACTTGATACATATATATATAGGTGTTCGTGGTTTGTTTGCCTTTTCTTGGTTGGTTTGGAATCAGGGATTTTAGATAAGTTCCTACGTGAACTACCAGTGGTCCACCAAACTGCTTATAACCCAGGGTGTCGGCTTTTTGTCTTCTTACTGTGATGGGAAAACACCTCTGCCACACGAAAAGGAATTGAGTGGGGCTTTCTTGGCAGATGCTAGTTGGGACGCTTGGTCGCCTATGGAAGCATTTCGCGAGGTGCAAGAGAATGGGGGCCAGCCGCAACCAAAGACACCCTAAAAAATGCTGAGGTTTGCAGATATGCATATATATATATGTGTGTGCAAAGTGCCAGTGGTAAGATGACCAACTACGGGCAACTCCAGTGAGCTCTATCATTGTTACCAGTTGTGTACTCATTACTATTTTAAAATTACACAAAATCTGTCTTTATTCAATGAAGTTGGAATTTGCTGTCCCATCACAAGCCTCCGTTTTATGAGACAGTTTCCAGGAACGGACCGTTGCTTTCTCGTAGCTCGATGTGTTCAGTTTCATTTTATGCAGAACTGGACATTGATGGTATGATGATATAACATATACGGTAGATGTTAGCCCGGCTTCTGCTGTTGCTGAAACGTTTTCAGACTATTGACTCACAGACGACAATGAGCTTTAATTACCTCTGTATCTGCTATGGTGCAAATGTTAATTGGATTGCTGTATTTTTTTATGAAATCTGATGGATGCCACTGAATACCTAATGGCTATCGGTCAAATAGTTAGTTTCAAGAAGTCCCAATCACCATGATTCGTGTTCTCCGACCAGTCTTAACCAATCCACATAAGTGATACCATGGATGCAACCGAATAGTGGGTGAATCAGCGGAGGAAACTTGTTCTTGTTTTGACAGTGTTATCGGATACTACTCACACGTGTGAGTAGTATACAAAAAGATGCGATCAGCGGTTTCTTTCAACGACCAAAAAAATGAACAAATGAGACCTGTTGGAACAAACTGCTGCTGTTCGGTATGATGAATACAATAATGCGCATCTGATAGTCGATCGTGTTCCACCTACTATCCTGTGTGTTTGTGTGCGGGAATTCTGCAAACTTGCTCAAAATGAAATATTTTATTGTATGAATGGTCGTTATTGGCAATAAATAACTCCTCAACCGTGCACCGCCTTCGAGGGGATTAAATTAATGGTAATTAATGGTTGATAAGGCTAACTTACTTGATACTCTTAGATGGTCTTGAAGAGTGTTGTTAAAACGTCGCGTAAACACTGTATTTCTCGCCACCTAAGTCCTTTTCCGAATTCAAACACTTTTATGATTCATTTGTGCTCCTTGCGGGCCCGTCTAGTTTTTTCTGGTTTTATTACTTGTCCCTGCGTTTCGCCCCAGGCCTAATGACTAACCCAAGTCTTTGTTATCGTCTAACTCATCAGCAATCACCTCACCTCGATTGTATCTGTCGTTAACTAGGTGTCCGATTCACACTATGATCCAGCCTATTAAACGACACAAAACAATACAAGTGTCCATATGATCTCANNNATCGCGTTGTTTACATAATATTTCATGCCCATGCAATTCGCTCCGGTCCGAGTGCTTCAAATTAATAGAAGGCCACTCACGGTGGTCTTCGTGTAAGACCCCATGCCCAGCGTGATTTGGCTAGTTTTCTGTATGCTGGTCAGTCATAATGATCTTCACATTTGGCGCAAAATCCTGGTGAGAATAAAATGGAGGCAAAACATAGATCATTTTGATTGATTGATTTAACAAGATTCGTTTTCACCGGAACTTGTTGTTTATCTCTTCTTCCTTCTGTTCTGCAACTGTTAAAGCCTGCTNGCTTCTGCTCGCGGAATCGGTGTCCGACTGATTACCAAATGGGCTCAAGTTCCCAAGAAGCGACCGGCAATTGTGCAAAAGTAAGCAAACACATATATAAGAATAGCTATTGCTCCAATTTCAGTTTATCTTTTCAATCGATCAGATTCGGTCAGACAAACAGTCCTCTTGTGAAAACCACAGAGTAATTTGTTTAATTAACATTGCTTCTAAACTTCTCACCGAGAGCATACTCCGTCGAATTTTTGCCACTCGTGAAGAGTGCACACTTGAGAATCAAGCTGGTTTTAGATCTGGTCGAGGTTGCATCGACCACATCTTTACTCTGGTTCACATATATAGGTCCCGTTAGACTCCCTGGCTGGGGACCCCGAAATCATGGTCACCGATGGTTAGAGACAATGAGTGATATGGCTGGGTGTTGCAAACAGTGGCGCTCATGCATCTACTCATCTATTCTTGTAACTTCCGTCTATGAAAATGTGTTATCTTCCGTTTGAATCTGCTCTCAACATTCGAATCATCATTCTGCTGTTTTATCCAAATGGGCAACCAAAACCCGCGCACGAAAGTGCATGGTTAATGGTTGTAAGAACTGAACTGAACTGAACAGCTTAGTGTACAGTGATTCAGCAGAAACTGTATCCGAAAACCACATGGAACGGACAAGACACAAGCTTCCACAGTTTTGTCAGAGAAGTCTGAGAGTGGCAAAGACAGATCTGTATGTTCGGTACTTTTCATCAGGCCAATACAGTACACAATCAAACATGTATAGACACAACACAAATCGTGATGATCCGTAGTATTGTAAGTACTCCTTAGGTTATTGTGATGGTTGATGTTGGAGACTGTGTCCGGATAGACCACTCAAGAATGACCGATCAAACGTGTGTGTGTGTGTGTTTGTTCGGTTGTATACTTCCCGGTAGATGAACTTGAATGCCCTCTTTCATGTCAGTTCGTGACCCGTGTCAAGTCAGTCTACATCATTTTGTGTGTACTCTGATTCGCACTCCTATGGAGAGGAATACGTAGGAAAAACCAAGACTAGGTGATTTTCAGAAATAATTGAAAAAAAAAACACTGTCCGGTTGGGCTATCAAAAGGGATCAATAAAACTGCGACTAGTGCAATCCTAGCCCACGTACTGAGATAAAATGCAAATCACACTGCATACAACACATCAGCATTACTTTGTTCCATGAATTCTTCAATTTTGCTTTCATCTATATAACAAACGGACTGTTCATCTGATTGAGATATTTTGGATCGTGGTACAGCTAAGATTACTAGATTTTGATCTTTTAGCAATTTACCAATGCACCAAAAGAATTTCACTTGACCTACTGGGAAAATCAATGATTAAGATCTCTATTTGGTCTAACATAAATAATCAGAAATGCACTTTTGGAAGTACTTTGAATGATATTGCGAGCTCTGTACGGTCAGATGACAATATTCGATTCGGCAGACTTAGTCGTTTATCAATTCGTTCAGAAAATGTTGTCCCAGCTGCATGCACCAGATCCCAATCAATTTGCTCATTACAGTTCCAGGTCAATCATTGATTCGTTGGCATCCCTAATGTGTTATGTCTCTTTTTTTCTGGGACAGGAAATGTAAAGCTGTTTGTGTATGTTTCTTTGATTATAGTGATTCTTTTAATTGTGTCGATAGGTTCAAACTTCTTCACACTCTTTCTGAGAAAGGCATTCAGCTGGAGCTAATCAATCTGTTACGTAATTATTTCACCCATCGATTACAGTTTACTAAATATAAGAGCGGTAACTCTCTATTTCAACCCTCCACTCAAGGAGTTTTTCAAGGAGCTATTCTCTCTCCCTTTTTGTTCACAACCTATATTTCTTCAATGCCTGCTTTTGATGATTGTCTGCTCACTGAGTATGCGGATGATGCTGTGCATGGTATGAAGCTTTTGAATTCCTCCGTGTACCCCAATCTTATGAAGAATGTTTCACAGCTCATCGACTAGTCTTCACAATACAACCTTGAAATGAATCGTTCCAGGTGTAATGATGTCTTATTATGTTTGCTGAAGGGTGACCAATACATTGATGTGATAAACTGTTGCCAAAATGTGATTATCCATAAAGAACAAGTTTCCAGAGCTCCGTCAAATACCTTGGAATCACCAGTTTCTGTAATTTTTGTAATCAAAAACTTCAAGCTCATACGTGCGTCCATCAAATGTGTATGTTGATATAGTGGTATATCTCGCGAAAATGTTGTGCAGTTTCTTATCTGACAGCACTTTAGGGCTTGTCAGAAATTTTCTACTAGACCCGTCTCACCGTCCCCATTCTCATCTTAGTCAATGCATTTCCACATCTAGCACTCGATCCAAGCATAAGCATACATACAGCAGCACACCACAATATACAAGTCTTCTGTGCTGCCGTAATTGGCAAGGTTTCTTACCAACGCTGAACTAATTGAAATGCAATCCATGTGTATCTTAACAGCAAGTCTCCTGGTCCGAAATGAGCGAGATCTTCCTACCAGTACGCTGTCCGCCAATATATATACATATATATATATATATGATACATGTGGCCTATCGTGGTGATACTGTCAGATCAACTGTGCAGTGCCACATTGCGGTTGTGATCCACAGTCATGTCGAGGAACTCCGCATCCGCACTCACCACATCGTAACAAACAAGGTTTGAATTGGTTATGCACTGCTTCAACGCTAATCACCGTTTTTAATCGATTATCAATCCGACAAGTCTCTTGCTATCCCCTTTCTACACACACACATACACACACAGGTCATGCGTGAAAGTATTCCGCTTAAAATGATTATACACTGATTTCTCTGGTGTACAGTCTGAAATCAGACGTACGTGAATTTCGTTGTATACGGATAAAATCAAACGTGAAATGAAAAACTGGGAAGCACAGTTGAACATCTGTTTCGACCTGGTTGCTGGTCTCATCCCATCGGCAGCGAGCAAAACCATCGAGCTCCAACTGAGAATCGAACACGGGACCCCACAGGCACAACACAAGAGTAATACTACCCACTCAGCCACCCCGGGTCAGCTGATTAGTCGGTTTTTGTANTATATATATATATATATGATCCAACTCACCGATTCACCACGAAATGAATCTGTCCTTTCATATGAAGCAAACGGGACTAAATGAAATGGATTTATCTGTACTTTCACACATTGATGCTTCATAAAATTTAGCCAGTTGTTACGCAATGTAAGTTTAAACTTGTATCCCACTTGATGTGTTTCAGGTACCTGGCTCGCCCGTTTCTAATCAATGAGAGTAAATTCGATTTACGAATTTATGTGTACATTTCTTCCATCAATCCGTTACGTGTATACATTCACGAGGACGGTCTGGTTCGATTTGCCTCACAAAAGTGAGTTTCGATTGATTTTATCCCCACACTCATGCAGGGTGATTGATATAAATAAACAAATTTTGGGGGTATTTCACATTCTGGTCTTTTGTTTATTACACACTTAATGTGATGAACAAAAGGCAGTCAGATAGGAAGGACGCAGACAAGTTAACCCATCATCACGAGGACTTGCTATTCAATGATGCAAACCAGTAACCTAAGCCCCACGGGACTTGGATAGGCGAACCATATAAGGCATCTCTAGGTTAGATGTTCAGTTCATTACAATTCTTATAACCATTAACCATGCACACTTTCGTGTGCCGGTTTTTGTTGATAAAGGTTTGGCCGCCCAGTTCGATAAGAGAGCAGAATGATGCTTGGAATGTTCAGAGCAAATTCAAGCGAAAGATAACGAATTTATATAGACTGAAGTTACAAGAATAATGAGTACATGCATGAGCGTTGCTATTTGCCATATCGAGCGGTGTCTCACAAACCATCGATGAGCTTGATCTCGGAATCCCCAACCGAGGAGCTTAACGGGACCCATGTGACCCAGACTCCCGGTTAGGATTTTCATACCAGCTCGTAGCTTGACCACCCCGGGCTTTATTCCACCCACTATCTGCCTCGGCAAACATTGCTCACCGTGGTAATCTATTTGATGATATGCAAAACACATGTCCTATTCAACGTAATCTATGAAGGTCGACCACTTGCTCTAGTAGGCAACTGCGGTTGCCTAAAACTTTGCACCTGATCTCAGCATTGCACGTCCGGCCACCCCACCCAGATTCGTGCAATGCTGCGTAGACACAGCTATGTTCGTACACCGATAATTTATTTTTATCCTCTTCTCGTTTTCGCAGATAGGATTCGATTCCCAAATTCTGTACAGCAAGCTTCATTTTCTTCACATGGATTTTTGGAATATCCCCCGATATTTAGGGAGATTTAATTCATTATGAAATTCCAACCACGAGAGATCATTATATTGAAACTTTGAAAATGGTTGATAAGCTTTTTCCTAGAATTGTCGCTGATATTTATGTATTTTACACGTGACTGAACCATAGTACAGTAATCTTTATAAAACAAAATAATAATAAGTTCCACGTTTCTCATGTGTACGGAATACTGCCAGGTTGCTCAGATCGAGACAGGTGAATTTTCTCGGGGAATTCACAACCACACATTTCGGCTAGTCAATGCCTAATATGTGTGCAAGCCGCAATCCATGGGTGGAATGCGATGTCCCGTTTATCGGAAAGGGTCAAACATTCACAATACCCAATACTCGTCGATGCTCAATCCAGTCGGCTACTGTCACCACCACTCTCCGCGGTGAATTGCCGGTGGTTCACCAACCTGGTTATTACCCTCTCATCCCCCCGCCACCTGGATATTGGTTTTTCGTCCTCTCTGTTTGATAGAAAAATACCGACACGTGAGAAGCGATGAGTAGTAGGGCGTTGTTTGAGATTCTTGGTTGTATTGGACGCCCAAGGGAATAGGGGTCAGCCGCAACCCCGACACCCTTTCTGTACCGTACCGNGTACCGAACCTTCTCGAGGTAAAATTGTCACTGTACGAAGTTCATACTCAGCACGTGTGCGGATTTGTTGCTCATTCTCAATAGGACATCATGCATCATTGAGTGTATCTATCTATCCATCTATTTATCTATCTATCAATCTCTCTTCTACAATTCCGTGAATCGATAATTTTAAACTGCTGGAGGCCCTTCAAAATAACGAAATTGGTAATCAGGTCAGGTTATGATTCCAGAGTATTTAGTGAATATGACGCATTGTTCAGCATTCATACGAAACCCAACGGCGTGCAAATAGTTTCAGAATTGAATCCGGACTTACGTGTCCCCAAATACCATCTTCATAGATCATTTATAAGCCGTCCCCATTCAAACGTATGATTAGATCTAATTGACCCATCACGACGAGACTGTACCTTGATGTGGTGTGATGACTTGCATGCCTTCATGACCCTGCGAGCTACACAGGATGGCTTTTCACAGCCATAGATTCAATCATGCCTGAAAGTTCAACGCGTAGAGACCAGACAAAGCTCAGTCTCGAAGTTAGCTGCCTGGACATCTCCTGGCTTCTTTCTTCTAGCCACACCCACCCCGGGAGAGGCCACTCCAGCAAATAAACACGGTGAGGGACAGTTTACCGGTCAAAAGTCCCCGCTAGATGGACACAGGAGCGGGGTATTTGAAGCTTCCCCTCGACAGTGGGAGAAATCGTCGCACTTAATTGGACAGCTACCGCCCGCTCAAACTGGGCAGCCCCCAGCCAATAAGGTGTTGTCCCGTCCACGTTCCGCTTTTCTCATTGGGTTCATGAGGCTAAGGGCCGATCCCGAAAAGCGGACCGACAATCAACGCACCAGGGAACAACACAATTAATCGAAATTAAAAGACCTTACGTGATTGGTTTCCAGAAGCTCTCACCTGGGTACTTCGTTCACGTTCCCGTGTTGGATTTACGCCCCGTTGCCTGGTGGGTCAGACTTTGGAGTCAAAGGTTCCGGTTAGGATTACCAAAGAAAAAACCCCTTCGTCGATGATGTGGGCTACCGTGAAATATGCCGTACCCCAAGGTCTTAGGTACCCATTCGGAAATCCATCGTTCCAATCTGTCTAGTCCTTTTTCTCAATCCCAAATAATCGAAAGATACCTCCTGTTTACGAGACCTATCGGATATCTGTTAGCATTCAACTAATAAGGGCAATTGTTCAGTGAACAGATCGAATTGGTAAAGCTCGTTGTTTAAGATTTACATACAGACTTTTAGTTTCGGGTGGAGGAGAACTATTGGCTAAGTTTCCTCCAGTGAATCTAAACTTACAAAAAAAAAGAACATTAGAAGACCTCACGAGAGATTACTTACATCATCATCTACTGTCAACTTGCCTCTATCATCATTATTTTGATAATGATAATGGAGTAGAAAAAATGAAAATGTGTCGTGATTTGTCATAAATCAGTATCCGATTATTCCCACAATGTCAAAACGTTCACAATGGATCATTATCTGGCACAAGGGAAAAGAAATTAGAAACATTCTGGTCTGCATATAGCACCTTCTGGTGCACTTGGTCCCATTTCAATTGACTGATTGATTGATTTGTACGATCCTGTTCTGATCATGGCTGTATTTTGAAAGTGAAGTGTGTAGCATAAGAAAATTCATGAACCAATGAGGCGTTCAACTTGCCACAGTTTAAATTTTAAAAAAAAAACAATAGTTGCTTCCTTTTTTATGATATATACATAATCTCGCAGGACAACAGAAAACTGTGGCAGATGAATTGGGAGGAGTTATTTTTCCCACAACTTTATCGATCAGTTATTTTTGGTGACCCAATAGGAGTTGGAATATGATCCCCATTTAGTCGGCGCACCACGATGCTAACGCATGCGCCTGCACTGATTTAATTGGCATCATTGACAATTACTTCCGCAAGATAGCATCAATGAATCTCGTTCAAAAAACACCATTCATATTTAGCAAAAATCCCTAAAAGATATGGTAACGATAAACAAAATTGATTTTAGATAGATAGATAGATAGATAGATAGACACGGATAGATAGATAGATAGATAGATAGATA